CAAAATATCAATAAGGTTCCCAAGATCATCACTGAGGAATGGTTAGCCTCTAATAAAAAAAAAACTTAAAGAACTGGAACCAAGTATCTTCTAATCTATCAAAATTAGGCTCAACACCCTCACAAATCCTCCAATTTCTTTCCTTCCAGATGACCTCAAATGGTAGCAAGCAGGATAAATCTGGTGGTATTGTTGCCGCTCTGAGATCCATTCCACATCCACAGCTCATCCCTAATACTATTGGCATCAGCAATCTTTGTGCTTCTTTAGTTTGAGCATGTTGTTGCCCAGTATGAAGTTGTTCTGCACTTTCTTTGCTGCCTCTAAATTTCCTCTTTGGCTGCTGGGATTGCCTAGGTGCACTGCCTTTAGAGCTCAATTGTTGCTGACATTCTTATCCATGAATTTTTGCGTTCTTTTCCTGTTCGATGGTTTTCTTAAAAAAAATTTTAAAGACACAGAACGACATTGCGCTTGTAAAAATTAGATGGTATTGCTATTCTCTTTTTAGATCATTTCTAGTTCTAAATCATTTGGTACATTGTGTTTGTACTTTTTCTTAGGTCTTGCTTAAATTAAAAGAATTTTTTGTTCACTGTTAGGTTCCTCCACGATACAACATGTTTGGGCCTTTGGCAGTTTCTTATTATGGTTGTCATTCTTGCAAACTTTGAGTTTATTCTTTCCACTATAGATGGAAAACCCTAGTTGAAAGAGGCAATTCTTAAACAACGAAAAATTTCAGTGGCTCCATGGTTTATGCACTTAGCTGAACCACAATAAGAACTGTATTTTTTTTCTTTTCTCCATGCTTTTACTTTAGTCAGTGTGTTTTGCATGGTTGCTTGTGCAGCACCTTCTTGTTTTCAAGGATAAGAGTGTTGCTAATTGTCAAGCATTTAATACATTGTGTTTGCTAATGCTTTAAGTTCAAATAATTTCAATGGATTAATTTGATGGTTATTTGTATAATCCTTACACATGCAGCAAACAAATTGACCGTGAATTTCTATATTTTCTTTAAATGTTTATTCTAAAACTTCAGTGGAATCAATAATATAACATCCTTGGTATTGTTTAGAAATGTCTTCATCCATCCTTTTCTTTTGCTCTCTTAGTAATATCTTCCTTTTCTCTATAAAAGAAAAATGTAAGTCTCTTGTATGATGAAAACTTATTTCCTTTCATGTATTTGTTTTACTTGGCCTTTTACTAGAAATGCATCATTGTGGCACAAGACCTAGAATAGTTGGCTAGGTATCCTTCTATTGGGCATTGTGCTGAACATGTTAGTGTCAAAAAATGGAAAGAAAAAAGAAGGGTATCATATGGTCGGTGTTTCCTTCTCTGTTCACTTTTTAAATTTGATTATTGGTATATTTTCTCTGTTATTCAGGTGGTACGTGACCCTCGTTTTGAAACTTTATGTGGAAAACTCGATGTTACGGGGTAATCTCACTCTCTCTGTTTCTATGGCAACCCCTTCTCTTCCTTTATACATGGTGAAGTGACTTACAGGCTATATTTACTTTCCTCTTTTTCCTATCTCTTAGTTTCCATAAGGGTGGATAACTTGGCACTGGAATATGGTATTGCCATCTTTAGAGTGATAGGTGTAAAACATTGAAGATGTTAATGGGTTTAAAGTTTTGTTTTCTTCCTTCTTTTATTCCTGGGCATTTTATTTTACTAGAAAGGTAAAAAGAGAGCAGCATGTTTTTTAGTTTTCTTTCTCTGGCCGCTAGATATACTAAATACAGTTAGTAGGTGATGTTTATATTTAAAAAAAAAATGATGTGAGCCTAGAAAATAAGTAATAAAATAAAACCTGCTGGGAATTACCTCAAAAACCTTTATCATTGATGTAAGGGGATATTTAACATTTTGTCATTTGAATGCTATAACTTAAATAAGGAGAAAGAAAAAAACTACAGATTGAAGACATCTATTCTTGGTGCTGTAGATATTTTTTATTGGGGTGTTTTAATCCATGTAATCAGTATCAACTGTATCAGTCTATACTGGTCGGTATGTACCATACTTGTGCTACACAAATAAAATCTTTTACCATGTCAAAATACCTGTCAATGCCGGCCTATATCAGACGGGTTGGCCAATACCAGGCACACCGGCCAATATTTTGAACTTCAAACAATTTCAAAATTTTTACATAAAATTAGAACATAAATTTTAAGTTACTGCAAAAATTTAATCTTAAAATATTTTTTAGTTATTTTAGTATAGTATTCTCACATTTGTACATTAAATTGTGAGTTTGACTTATCTATTATATTTGTAACTAATGCTTAGATGTACAAGGTCTATTAAAAAAACATGTTATTTATATTTACTGTAAATTTTCATTTAAAAAATTAATATCAATTTATTGGGTTAAATGTTTTATTATTTTTGCAAAAATTATTTTTATTTTTATAAAAATTAATTATTATTGCTGTGTGTACATATAAATAAAATATAAAATATTAAAGAACAGTAAATTCGAGATTGTAACTGAAATTTACTTATACCAGTATGAACTGTTCAAGTTTT